CTAAGCAAACTTTTCCCCCTTGTTATTTTTTAGTTGGTTTAATGTATAAAATTTGAAGAGGTTGAACGTTCGCTCGGGAGACCGGAGGTTCTGAGTTCGAATGCTGCGTGTGGGATCGTTGATACTCACTACTGATGAGTCCTATACTAGGAAGAAATGACCGTCCATTAATTTCAGCTTTTAAATGGTGGTCTAACATTGATCGATTCATGATCTCAATAAGAAAAATTAAGGATAATTTATATCATCATCAGACAGTAACTGGGTACTGGATGGTTGTATCTTCTGAGTTTTACATTCTTCAATATTGCATACCCACATCCTCGCACATAGTTGAAACTATTATTTACATTCGTGTATTTAATACACAAATGCCTGGTACAACTAGGTACCAAAATAAATATACATCATGCAAGCAAGAAAATGAAACTGTAGAGAAATGTAGGAAGGAGGGGAAATATTATCAAAAATAAATAAATGAATAACAATAAGTAAACGAAAGTAGTATAGAATAGGAGGAGCAGTTCTATTAAAAATGCAACTAGCACAGCACCGTAGATCCACTGTTCCCCGTGTTGTATCTTGACCCTTATGTTATGGGATTGACAAGTAACTCATTTTTGACATGGTCGCCTCTACTGTTAATGGTTACTTCCAACAGAATTATGCGAAATTCTTCTTGAAGGTAGTCACTTGTTCATGTATGATTATAATATGAGATGGTTTGTTGAAATATTTTAAAAATCTAAACATAATTTTCATTTTAAATTATTATCAAACTACAACGCAAGAATGATCCAATATCCATTGACTTTCACTAATATCATAAAATCTTAGGTCTCCTATTATCTTATAGTTAATTGACAATTTTATATTCTTAACTGATCTGATCAACTTTCTCAGATTATTTTTTAAGGAGAAAAATCATTTGTTTTACCATTATAATCAGAAGGGGTTTATGGAGAGTTTAGAAATTTCACAGATTGAAATCATGAGTCAATTGAAGCTAGACCAACATGGAAAACCTGAAAGCACTGGACGGCCGTTTCGTCCTAGTATGGGACTCCTCATCAGTGCTCATCCACGATCCCCCACCTCACGGGATTCGAACCCAGGACCTATCAGTCTCGCGCTCAGCGCTTAACCAACTAGACCACTGAACCGGCATCAAATGGTGTTAATGTCTAACTTCAACCAATCCACGAAGTTGCGCTACCGTATACCATTGTCTTCAGTGAGCTGATGTCTCACAACAGATCTGATTGAACTCCACTGGTAACGGCTTCTCATTAGAACTCCAGGAGTATCTCTTGAAGTCAGTCACTAGTGAGCAGATTATAGATCAAAGTCTTATCTATTTGAAACTTTATTGTTTGTTAACTAAATGTTACTATCAGTTTTATTATAAAATGAATCAATAAAATAACTATAATTCCGTTACATCAAAGTAAAACAATGACCTTTATTTTTGTTGACTGTAACCTTTGTTCGTTCACGTTGCCACTTGTCCAATAACATACTTTTCTTTTTTAAGATTCTCTCTTCATTCTTTATTCCATATAATACACTAGGCATTTAATCAATATACAGTGAACTGATGATGAGTCATATGTGGTTGTTTATGATTATGATTGTTCTACTTTCCAGTTGAAGATACATGTCATTTTATGCCTTGATTTATCGGTGTATTATATAAAATAACCCGAATTATTGATGTTGATGAAATAAATAAAAAAAAGAACAAAGTTTGTTTATACGTTGTATTATTGTTATTATGTATCATATTTTTGTTGTTATACTGTTTCATCCTTCGTTTGTTACTAATCCCAAGGACTAACTACTGGTTCGTATTGATTAAACCAGGTATCTTTGTTTGAATGTCGACCAATAATTTATTATGATTATAATTATTAAATTCAATGTTCATATGAATGAATAGTGGAAAATGTCGGGTTTAACTTTTAGGAATTGGATATTAAAACCCAAAAAGGCTGTGACCTAAGGCTATATCGAGGCAATCCGCACAGGATGCACATATGCCAACACGAGACTGATCAATTGCAGTCCTAAATAACAATGGAAAGATACAAGTAAAACAATACCAATTGAATTTAAACTTCCCCCCATTGCACAAACAGGTGACTATCAGGACTCAGTCGCTAAGTGGACAACACGATGGTATTTGAAGCGAACGGTGCTGGGTTCTATTCCCGAAGTGAACATCAACTCTAGGATGCAGGTGCATCCAGCTGACGAGTCCTAAATGGGACGAAACGCGCGTCCTGGATTCCACTACTGGTCACTATCCATCTTTGCATAAAACCTATTAGTTGATTTTACAATAAGCATGTCTTCATTGTTATGTGAACTTGAGTTAGCTAATGAAATACCAGTATCCATCTGTTATGGAATAAATACTGATTATTTGACAGCGTAGTCCTAGATTACTCAATATGGTATATTTGTTGTGACAGATATTTTAATTTCTACATAATTCTTACCTTATATACTCTAGATTTTTTGTATAAACCAAATCACTGTTGTCAGACCGGTTATCTTAATATCACAAGTTTGATTATAATTAGGTAGATATTATTTTTGCTAATTACGGCGCAAAGTTTTTATCGGAGAACATTACATAAAGAGTTTCTCGAGACTAATGAGCTCAAGATGTTCAATTTATCTTAGTTTGAGACTCTACCAAGTCGACTTATTTCAAGATGAAATAATGGGTTTGGTAGCGATTACTGTCTTGATATTAGACCATGAAACCACTTGAAATGTGTTTCGTGTGTACGTGGGTGGTGAAATAGTTGACTAGTCAACAACAGGGCTTTATTTAAGTCGTAACATAAGGAAAGCAGGCCTGTTTGATGAGTTCCTATGTGGGTATCGACTGAGTTAGTTGATGTTCCTTCATATCTACATTTTGATTTCGTCTTCTCGAACCATATTCTTAATTTATGATCTTTCTCATCGTCGTTGCTACAATGAGTATTTCGACTTCTTCACTATTCCTCTTGTTAATCTTGTCTCCTAGTATTAATATGGTATGGCAACTAGTGTCAATACATATTTGTCCTAAGCTCTCCATTGTTTGTGATTTACATCTGCACCATTGTAGCCAACTTTGATTTGTGTCACCTGATTTCTACAACTATTTATTATGATTGTCTCCCAGAATTTAGCTGGAAAGTGTATACCTCTCAACATGTTTAGGTCGATTTTCAAAGATCGATGTTATATCTGGGTTCTATTTCCTTGTTCGTTATCATGGATGCCCACTACTGTGGAGCCCCATACCAGGACGAAACTGCTGTCCAGTGCTTCCAGGTTTCCAATGGTGCGTTAATTTAGATCGGTCCGCGTTTTCAACGATATCTTTTTTTTCATTTAATAAGTCCCAACGTTCGTCAATTGAATGTCTCTGTTAATCTCATTTTTATTTCACATTTCACTTCGTCATTGATTTTACTACATTCCTTTGGAACGTTGACTCACCAAGTTTTTGTCTCATTTTCCAACTTATGCGATGGGGTTATCAATGAAATCATGATCCGATCTAAACTAGACTACCATTGAAAACCTGGAAACTGGACAGCCGCTTCATTTTAACATGGAACTTCTCAGCAATGAGCATCCATGACTCCACACACGGGAATCAAACTCAGGGCCTTCAATATAGCGCTTGAACGCCTAGTCTCTAGATCACTAACTCAGGATCCAAAGGTGTTGATGTTTAGATCCAATCAATCCACGACATTTTGCGAGTATTTGCTATTGTTCTCGGTGGCTAACTGTTTCATCGCACATATATTAGCCCCACTGGTCACGGCTTCCCACTAGAACTCCGTAAATTTTCTGTTGAAGTTAGTCACTAGTGAGCACATGATGATTATCAGTAAGGGGTTGTGGAGATTGTTGAATTTAATTGAAATCATGAACCGAATTAAGTTAGATCACCCTTGAAAACGTGGAATCACTGTGAATGAATAGCTGAATGTTAATCTCTATAGTCTATACAACTGGTTGAGTTGAACGTTTCCTAATATGAAAAGTATCGATCTATTCTAAGTAGTTAAATTTCAATAAATTTACGCAATCTTATCATTGGATTGTTTCGGCTTTGAAAATACTTTTTTTCTTTATCATAGATGTTTAAATAATTCGTTGGTGATTGACAACCTTTAATTTAAAAATTGGTTTATATTTATTTTTTATTTATTGACTTATTTAATACACAAATGCGGTATAACTGGGCACCAAAAAAGTATGCGCTACATAAAATAAAGACATAACATTCTGAGAAAACCAAGGACAGAAAGAAAGTACAATCATAAAACACAAAATAAGTGAATAAGTATAATATACAATAAAATCAAATCTAAAAAGACTTCTTTTATTCAAAGGAGATGCAATCCCCAAGTTAGTTGGTGACCAAAATAGGTTTATATACTCTTTATAACTGTTTAATCAATGATTAGTGACCAATGTCACGTATGTCAAGTCCATCAGGGCTCATCGATTCCCTCAAGATTACAGGTACACCTTACTGAAGCGTACCAAATAACACAAAACTTAGATTCAAGCTTTCTTGTAGACTACCCCCCAACCACCATAGTATAGGTTTATATATCATTCGTTCCATCAAGATCCTTGAGTTCATTTACACAATTGGTTTAGAATCGGTTTTCATACCCAACAAACTGTTTTCAGCACTGGATGTTTACTTTCCGTCCTTTTACTTACGTAAACAACATCACCGTCACGTGAAGACAATCAGTAGGCGATCCCTGGCAAAGGTTGAGAACTCATGGCTCTATAGATGTGTTTCGAAAAGAGAACAGAGTCTGCACTTTTGGCCGTACAAGGGAAACGCAGAGACATGTATAAAATCACGTATTCGTATTTTGTATTCACTAGATAATATTGGATAAACTAAGAGCAATAATTCGATATTGTATTTATGCTAATCTTTTTCCTATTCAATTTTTCTTTAGCTCCACCTGTACACCCACGAAACTCTTCAAGATATTATCATCAAAATGCTCCAGTGAGTTACTATGACTATATGATTTCCTCTCTTTATACAGGTATCATATTTTCCTTGGATTATGAATATTTAGAATATTTTTTTAATGTCCATAATGCTCACTTAGAATTATGATATTAGTTTGGCACATTTATGTTAGCCTTCCATTAATCTAATGGTTCATCCCATCGACTAGAACAATTTCATGTCAATTTTAGATAATTTGGAACAAATAGTAAATCTCGTATTTTTCACTACATAATTCAACTACTGATTTATGTCAATACAGAAATTCCAGTCAACAAATTTACGTCTTTGATTGAGATCATGAACCGATTGATGTTAAACCACCACCTTTAGAAACCTGGAAGCACTGAGTGGCCGTTTCTTCCTATTGTGGAACTCCTCAGCAGTGCGCATCCACGATCCTGCACGCGGGATTCGAACCCAGAGCCTTCGGTCTCGCGCACGAACGCTTAACCAACTGGACCACTGAGTCGGCATCCAATGATCCCGGGATCTTCAAAACGTCAGTTAATAGGACTTTAAAAACGGCCTGTTACCTAGTTTAGTGATATATTACAGTTGTTATAAAGAAATTTGGAAAGAGCAAGTGGTAGTCTAGGCATATTTTACTAATAAGTATTATGGATAATTTGAGTTTTCTGTAAACACATTATCATGGAGTAGTGGGTGATAAATCTGATTGATTCGTTTCAACTATGTTTCTGGTTTAATTTCATGCGGAACGGCAATCAGTTGATGAGGTAATGAAAACTATTATTTTAGTTTAGGCCTCCTATATCTGTATATATTGTCGGTCATTCGTTTCTCATTGTTTTACAGGGTTTAACTTAATACTTAGTGTGATCAGTTCTTTTTTTCGATCCCAAACTGGTCACTTACAGTCATTTGTCGTTCTTTTAAGAAATGTGTGTATTATGTTATAGTCAGTTCACGATTGCTGGTGATTTTTTTCTACATAAATGATGGCTTCTTTGAGAAAGGCTATCGACATCAAAAGTAAATGCATACAACCTTCGGAAATTTTTATTTTGTCTTCGACCTTTTCGAACAAGTGTATTTTCTATTCAAATTTAAACTGCATTTTATTATTAACTTAGCTTTTTATGTATAAAATAAAGTGTTCCATTTGCTTGTTTATCGATTTGTTTTTGTTTATTTTAGGTTGTGACGTCCTCTACTGGACTTGTGGCTAGTGAAGCTACAACTCCTACCAGTGGTGCACCACTTGGTTGCCATCTAGCGGAACTAGCCAAAGAACCTCGTTCAAGTCAGAAATGTCATAATACTAATAATAATAATACTAATAATAATAATAATGATAATAATAATAATAATAATAATAACTATGCACCTGTGAAGTCAGTTGATGAAGTTTTTTCTTCAAATGAACTAATTAGTCATTGCCTCAACACACGAAATTCTCATTTCAACCATTCTGGTGTTATATATTCCAATGCACAATCAGAGTCAATTCAAACTAACTCCAGTTATGATACAGTACGTCCAATTAATTTATCACCAGTTAATCTAAGATCGAACTTTTTAATAAGTCGACCAAGTTTACCTTTGGAAACTACTGTAAATGACGATCAAATTTCTCATGTTCACTATCTTCGTCATCATTCATGTGAAGAAAACTATTCACAACCGAATTCTGAATGTAGAAAGTTATCACTAATTACTGGATCATCTCAATTAATTGGTGATAATAATAATAATAATAATAATAATAATAATAATAATAATAATAATAATGCTCAAGAGCATTTCTCTTCTTCACGGCTTACACCATCACCCATAATTTTCTCTTCATCTGTTAGTGATCGTTCAGACAATAACAATACCACGATACCACCATCTTTGTTGGACAGTCATCAAGATGTAATCTCTTCTCCTATTATACCTCCATCTACAACCACTTCTTCGAATAATTCAGATGTTGATCCAATTCATAGAGCAGATGAACAACACCAGAATAGTAGATCAGTTTCTCCAACATGTTGTAGCTCTCTCTTATTACCTCCACCTGTTCCATGGAATTTAGATTTAACATCTGAAGTGAATGAAACAACACCAAGTTTATTTATTAATAATAGTGATGATATGATTTCAAGAAATGATTATTATCAAGGTAAAATAGACAGTGGATATAAATTTAATGATGGTTTATTTAATGGTGATACTACACAACAACATGCTTGTAAAAATGTCGATAATAATAATCATTCGAGATGTCGAAGTAAAGATTCACTCCTTTCAGATGACATAAACTTTTTAAATAATTCATGCAATACTCATCATCATTATCCGAATTATGATAATAAACCACTTGGATTATTATCACCAAGTCATCATTTAAATTTTGATAGTTTTGAAATTTCTGAAATGACTAATAGTAATACATATGCTTTTAGTACATTCGATTCAGATTGTCTAGCATGGATGCGTTTAACTGTACATGATGTAACAAATAATATAAATGAAGATATGAATAATTCATCAGAATTACAATTACCTAATTTGGATACATTATCTCGACCATGTGTTCATCATTGGGTGGATATATTCAACTCGAATCCTTTAGGTTTACGATTAAATTTTGTAAGTTTTGTGTTTTATTCCATATGTTTCCTATGTAATATGGTGAAAATATTGATTTAATGAAATACTGAAATAATTAGAGATAGTGGGTGATGTTGTCGGTTGAATATTAATTACAATAATATGGTTTACTATGATAAAGGTATTCGAATTAATATGGTAATTAAGAATTCCCGAAATAGTGCAATTTAAGGCAGGTAGAACTAGATGAGTACAAATGAACGTATTGCATATGAAATCCGTAATCAGTGGGCAGTCACGTACAAAGTAATCAATAGTTCGCATAGAATACCACTTTTACATTTACGCTTTTTTTTTCTCTGAATTTTGAGTTTGATGTTATTTTCATAGTTTTCGTTCTTCAGTGTCACTCGTTCTTTTTTTTTAAAGCTGCATTTATCTATACTTAGTTTAGCTTAGTTTAGTTTACTATTGTTTCCACTGACTAGCTTTTTATTTTGTTAATTTTCTCTGTGGTTAGGCTAATTTATATTAAAGTAACTTAAACTAACCCATTTACACTGGTTCTCTGTCTTGTTCCCTATGTCTAATTGAAAGATGCTTCTCATGAGATTGATGCAGCAGATGACCCAAATCTCTTTAATGTGACTCACACTTACACAGTACAGAGTTATTTTATACTGTTTTTTTTCCAATAGTCTACTGCATGTGTATTTGGTTTTTTTGGATGTGAGTGTAAGAAGATAGTCATAAAATTAAATAATTATCATCTGGTAGGGTAGGTATACATTAAGATTATGAGTATTTGAATGCACTATGGTTGATTAGAAACAATTGGTCTTTCCCATCGAACCACAAAGTTATGTCTATAAACTCGTTGTTTGTACACTAAATTACTGGTTTCCCTTATGATATTCTAGTCATATATTCGGCAGTTAGAGTTAGTTTTTTCATATATAGGACATCATATCAGTAAGTAATACAGACATGTTGATAATCGTTTTTGTGCTTACAGATTAATATAGTTTGGTGTTAGGCAAACTACTCTAATTCAGGTATTGTATAAGGTGACTGGATCACTGGACGGTTGTCGCAAATATGTAGGACGGTAGATATTAATCATGTAACTGAATCTTCTATGGGTATAAGTTCGAGTAATCTTATATTCGTTCTGTACAGCTAGTAACAATGAGTTATGAATATATAATTTAGATTTTCCTAATATTTAAATAATAACAACACACTTTACTTAATATGAAAGATTAAAATTGATATTACGAGCGTAGGTTTATTGTAAATGTAAACTGTTTTTCCTCGTGAATACACAAAGTGATTTGAACTTTTCTTAATTTTAAGGATCCAACAAATCCAAGTGAATTCGTTTTCAAATATTTATTTACACTACCACATATGTAGTTTGTAGGTCAGTTCTATGTCTTTCATTTATGTTCAATAATGAACGCGGTGACGACAGATAGATATCCCCTAATGCTCTGGTACGGTTGAGGGTGGGGAAAGTCAGCTATCCCTCTCCAAACGCTATCACATAGCCACGCGGATACAGTCACTCTCAGGGAAGTCCTACTCACTGACTTCTCACGACGAGGGTATTATTTACGAAATCGATCAGACGAAAAGCGAATGTCTGACGCTTTAACTATGTTGGTGGATATGGAGGATCCATCTAGAGGAGTTGGAAAACCCTAATTCCAAACCCGTGGTTGATATGGATTCCATAATCCAGAGGGGGGAACAAACCGTGTATGATGAACCTATTGTTGGTCGCTGACTACTACCATGAGACTTCATCTGCTGAAGTTGTTCCACAGCCTTATGGATTAGACCTTTAGATGTAAGGCTGTGGATGTGGTGCTGTAAGAGAACGACCTGCTTTGATTTGTGCACCTGATCAGTATTCCAGCCTTCAAACGAATCGAATGATTTGTGTGTCGCATATATATTTGTTGTCTCCTTGTCCCAATGTTTATGTGTTTAAATCAATTAATAAATAAGGTGGTTGATCGATGATTGCTCGAAAATCTCACTAGTTTAATGGTTCAAACATTTAAACATCATTCAATGTACTTTAGTAGTATCGTTAGTCCTCACATATGAAGTGTGGCCCAAATTTGCGCAATTAAACATATACATGCTAAATACGATGTCACTAAATGAATATCCAAAGACCATATATCTAACTAGTAATTTTTTATCCGATTACATCGATAATAACGTATATACATGATCATAAGTCAGATAATATAAAAGCGACTGTGATTTAACTGAGTTACCAATAAATTTAAGTCTTGACGTTCACTGCGTAGTTTTGTTTGTCATATCAGTTTATTCTTCTACAACATCTACCTATTACTCTCTTAATAACAGTTCTTTGACTGATGTCAACGGCTTGTAATGAATAATTTTCTAATACAGTCAAATCTATGAAACTGTGAACTCGAATAATTTCATCTTCAAATACTTACACTGTGGTTCGGAGCAAGTTTTTGAAACTATCATAACATCACAACTTGGAATATAAACAGTCGCAAATTAGTTCGGAATGTAAACTATACAATTCAGCGATCTCCATGAATCTCTTGCGCTAATGATAACCATGTGTTCACTAGTTATTAATTCCGAGTGATAATTGCTGGAGTTTCAGTGAACTACTGTGACCATTGTAGTTCAAATATGTCGGATCAGACAGTTACTCACCAATGATATTAGAAGATGGTTGCGTAATATGATTATTTAACTGAAGTTAGAAATGTAAACCATTGAATCCTGACCTGGTAACCTAAATGTCAGGTTATCCCTACGAGACCAGTAGGTCCTAGTTTTCGATCCCCAAAAAGGAGGCGTGGATACACACTGTTCAGGGCTCTCAAACTAGGATAAAATCGTTTTCCAGTACTCTTTCATTTTCTAACTAACGTTTTTCGTCATGTAAGCTACACAAATGAAAACTTACTAGTGGATAAGTTGTCATAGAAGTATCCATATTAGACTTAATTTCTGTATATTAGATAATGAAATTGATTTTTATTATAAAATATATTTCGAACTAAGATGAAATAATAGTTTATTTTTCTAAAACTTCCCGTAACTGGCTTGAGTTTGTCATGGAAAGTTGTCTTCAAATCATGATGGTTGCCATTTCAGGGTGAATCCCGACAACGCTAATAAATATGTGTGACGATCAATTACAAAGAAGTGTTTTTGTCAACTTACAAAAAAAAACACTGCGTACATGTTTAAACTCACAATAACATCTAGTGTGTATCTTAGCAACTATCGGAGATTTATTGATATGTATGTTGCTTTATTCCCATAACATGTGGTTGATTGAATTACAAAATAAACATGATTTATAAACAGATCGATTTTTTTGATGAACTTCTATATCTGAAAAAGTTGGTATAATAGAAACTTTTATTAAACACAATAATAGTCGCTGTTGCATAAGTCATGTAGAATACTATGAATTTACTGTATTACGTTGTTTTCTCAGTTTTATAGATATTTATAATTTCGGTTAATTTAGATTTGAAATTGATAACACCTATTTTAGTCAATGTTGATAGATGCTAAGTACTTGGTTATGGTGTCTGCTCGATAGTCACAATCAGTGGTTGTAGATGTTGGGTGATATAGCCCAGAATTGGTCACAGTGGCATAGATGCATCCACTTGTTATCTTTCAGTATCTTTTCATAGATACTCTCTTTTCCAAGCATATTCTCAATATCTTGTCCTTCTTTCTTTTTTTCTTCTATAATTGTCACTATGATGATTTCAACTCATTTGCTGTTCATCTTTGTTAATTTCATCTGTTTGTAGTATTGTGATATGGTAACGTGGGTCAGATGCTACGTTCATCATAACTAACTGATTGATTGTATATATCTGAAGGGAAAGCCATGAAATACAATGAGTTTATTGTATTTAATAAGTATTGTTATTCTTTGACTAAATTTGTCCGAGGGAAACAATATTTTAAATGTCTTGTTTTTTTTTCTAGTATAGTCATCGTCTAGCAAAAGTGACATTTAATTGTCACGTAGTTTTCTTCTGACTAATAATTTATGTTAGAGATGCAGCTTAGTGTGATTCAGTTGTTCAACTTTCAGCCATTAATTTCCAAGTTCAAACTCTTCACTTCTGTTTTTGCAACCGGGTAGTTATCATTAGCCCCCATGTTGCTCTAAGAAGTCTAATTTAGTAAGACCTAATTATACGATAGAAGTTAGAAAGTGCAATGACTAGGCAGAGTATTCTTGAACAGATAGCTGTAAGAATATTTACCCACCCTTCAGACAAGATCTAAGTGGTTGTGAACTCATAACCGCTGAGGAGAGCCTTCTCATACAACCACGTCACCGAGCGATGAGGTCTCTATCAGAGTATCGTCTTGTAATATGGAACTGTGGCAGATGTCGATTATTATTCAGTCCTGTTATTTGGTTTCATCTCTTGAGTTTAAAGCTCTACAAGCACTTACAGTACCATGATAAGCGTCAAAAAGATTGTAATCAAGATAATATAACTGAATTACATATCTAGTCACATATGTTCAATCCAATATAAGATTGAATGTCATCAATACATCCGATAAAAATAGACTTTTTTGACCATTGCACTAAATATGAACCTATTATCTTATGTTTACAAGAGAGTTCTCCCATGTCTATTTAAGAATGTAGTTCTTAATTGTATTTACAAACATTTTCTTAGAAGTAGATCCAATGGAACCAGGAGATTATACTTCTAATCTGTAAAATGTCTACGATTTGGTAAACCGGTTGTGATTCTTTTCTCATACATTAAATATATGTTATTCATATTAGATGAATTCATGAGTCAATTGAAGCTCAACCACCATGGAAAACCTGAATGCGATGCATGGCCGTTCCATCCTAGTATGGGACTCCTCAACAGTTCTCATCCACGACCCGCCCCCCCCCCGTGAGATTCGAACCCAGAACCAATCAGTCTCGCACACGAACGCTTAACCTCTAGACCATTGTCTTCGAATCTTGCGAGGCGGGATTGTGAATGAGCACTGTTAAGGAGGAGTCCCATACTAGGACGAAACGACCGTCCATTGCATCCAGGTTTTCCACAGTGATCTAGCTTCACAATGGACTCATAAATTCAACTATAAAATTACTAAAATCTTTACAAAACCCCCTTCTAATAATTCACATTAGACATTAGGAAAAAAGGAATTTAGTTTACGTCCCATAACACGTAAACTATATGATAGTCAACATGAGTTACTTGCAAAAAGTTTGTACTTTTTTTATCTTATAATAGATTCATCTATCTCATATGCTTATGAATCATAAGCTAAATGAATCATTGTTATGTTCATGTCCTTTTTCTTTTCTCTTGTAAAGACATGATTCATTTTGTTTTGGTCAATTCATGAAAATTATTTGTCTCATTAATCAATTTAGAATTTTTGTATTATGGATATTGGAGATTATTTTTTTTCTTCAAAAACAACACGTTTGTTTAGCCTACCCGACCAACTAATTAGGAAAGTTGATTGACTTTTCGGGAAAAAAAAAGAGCTTTGGTAAAGATATGTATAACTGGGATCACTGGGGAAGTCGAACTAAACGGACAAGTTAGCCAGTTTAATTTGGTACAATTTGTGTATCAGTAGGGATTTCGATTTAACTATATTTTATGTGAAGCAGAATGACTCGTTAACTGTTGCAATTTCCTATCCCGAAACATCGTAATGACCCAAATGCATTGCGATCTATTTATTTATTTAAAGACATAAACATTGGGACAAGGAAACAACAAATATATATGCGACACACAAATCATTCGATTCATGTGAAGACTGGAATACTGATCAGGTGCACAAATCAAAGCAGAACGTTCTCTTACAGCACCATATCCACAGCCTTACATCTAAAGGTCTAATCCATAAGGCTGTGGAACAACTTTAGGAGATGAAGTCTCATGGTAGTAGTCAGTGACCAACAATAGGTTCATCATGCAAGTTTTGTTCTCTCTGGATTATGGAATCCATATGAACCACAGGTTTGGAATTAGGGTTTTCCAACTCCTCTAGGTGGATCCTCCATATCCACCAACACAGTTAAAGCGTCAGACATTCGCTTTTCGTCTGATCGATTTCGTAAATAATACCCTCGTCGTGAGAAGTCAGTGAGTAGGACTTCCCTGAGAGTGACTGTATCCGCGTGGCTATGTGATAGCGTTTGGAGAGGGATAGCTGACTTTCCCCACCCTCAACCGTACCAGAGCATTTGGGAGCATTATGATCAGTAAAAAACACTCATATGAGGACCAATACACCTTATAGTACACACAAACACAGGTGCGCGCTGTCCCAAATATAAATCACATGGATTTATGAATAGACCAAGGTATATACACTCAATGGTGTACACAGAGATATTGATGCGACTTAGTCTTGTTTCCCCTTACTGGGTTCCAGTAGCATTATTAACTGAATGAGTTACTTGCATTCAAATCGTCGGTTGTAAAATCGTCTATTGACAATCAACTCTTTCACGTTGATACCGTAAATAAATCCCGTGTCAACCCTTGTGTTCTGGTTACTTGACAGTTTATGTCCGCTCAGGTTTATATCAGACCCTATAGGCCTTCTTATAGATAATCCAGTCAAGCACCAATAGAAAAATTTATTACCCCAGTTATTCACGTTACATTTTTCTGTATCTGACTGTCTTTTAAGACAGTTAATGTTTACGATCGGATGAGAGGACTAGTCCAGTCTTCATCAGTGTAGGCAGAGTGGAAGTGCACCCCGATCTATTTCTAGCGGCTTGTGTTAGTTCATGAAATAAAGTTCCACTATCCCCAGGGAACTTTTCAGAGGTGTGACTCTGATTTTGGCCCAGTTTCAAAGATATGCCAAAATAAAATGCTAAAGGAATTTAATCTATTATTAGATTGTGTATAATCGTCATCTTGTTAAATTCAAACTAATCTGTTTGATTTATTGCCAAATCACAGTGATACAAGATTCGAACTGATAATCAGATAGTTTATTTTCATTCACTGAGTGTAATTTTAAAAAAAATACTAGTTTTTTTGTAACCTTCAGTCTTACCGACGAGAATCTCACGATATTTACTTTAATTGTAGACTTGTAGAATTATACATATGAATTTCTAGCAATTTCTTCTCTCCGACTAGTGATTGTATAAGAGGCTTTTTACAAGTTTTGTTTTTGGAATACATTTATTTGCATAAAGGTTATTCTTTACATTTATTCTAACTAATTATTGCCGTCCAGTTAAATTGATTAATTAATTTTATCACCTCCTGACAATAATTAATATTTTAATTTATGAATGTTATATGGAAACTTGTTTCATTCATGTAAATAGTTGTAGTGATTACTATTGAAAACTGTAAGAACAAGCATTTAAACAGAATAATATAAATTCACATTTTATTTCATTTGATTCTCATCAGTTGCTTACAACCTGTATATATTTAAAAACTATAGTTACAGAATAGGTTTCAATTGTTTATAGGAAAGAGTTTATTTGAAAGTTACTTTGAAGACATATCAGTGTAGTATAGCAAAGATGTAAACAATGTTCAATAGATTGAATAAAATATTGTAAGATGTATCTTATATATAAGAAAATTCTATCGCATTGATAGTAACGAAGGTCCACAGAACTACAAACAAGTGGTTACGTGATGAGTAGACACTGATAATACTTAAGGATAAAATTACCAATCTAGAAAACATTCTAAAAAGTACGTAATGTGAATAATTGAAAAAAAAGAATTATATTAAATTTCACTATGTAATAAGGGAACTTTTATGTGATCGAAGATAGAGGGATTAACAACTATCTTTTTTGGAACATATAAACCAAGTTTCTGACACCTGATAGCAATAGCTTCAGCAAACTTCAGAAGGCTGGGATTTGACCATTTATTTATCACCATGGATGATTTTAAGGTTGTGTGTCCAAGAAACATTTAATAATTGCTCCATTTATTACTACTGATAAATGGTTTAAATGTGTGTAGTTTACGTTGAGTATTAATTTTAGTCATGAGTATGGCAATCATTGGATTCACATCTAATACAATCGTCCATAAAGTGCTACACATTTGATTGAAGTATCGTAAAAGTGATCAAGTATCTGAGCTTTTGATGAGTTCGATTATTAGATGGTGTCATACTCTACAAACTTTCTTAGGCATTTTTTTACGTACGACCAGTTGGTATTTTTCGCAACTATTTTTGAATTAACTTATATCTTGATAATTTTACACTTCACTGTGTTATACCTAAAGGTGGATGATTCTTGTCGACTTGCTGGCACTCTACGCATTTATATTAATCTTATTAAACCGGTGAAAATGTCTTTAAGACGTACATTGGATATGTTTCCATCAAGTGCAACAGCGTCACCTGAACCAAATAGTCCAACTAAATTGAATTTAAATGAAAATGGGGATGAGAATAATGCTGTACCAACACCACCACGTTTAGTTTCATTTTTTCTACCAAGAGGTACTTCAAAAGTAGTTTATGTGACAAGGTAAGTGCATTTTTCTTTTGCACTAGACGGCCGTTTCGACCTATTATGAGACTCCTCAGTAGTACACGTCCATGCGGTATTATCTATAAAGCCGAAACCAATCTCCATAAACCCCTAGAGTAGTTAATCATGTACTCGCTAGTGACTTATCTCAAGAGATAATTTCAGGAGTTCTAGTGAGAATTTGTATCCATGTCGAGCTTGAAGAGGTATCCATTAAGTGCACTGAAAGATGATTTCGCGATATCATGAATTACTTGAAGTTAAACAAGGAAGCATTGGTTCAGTGATTTAGATATTAAACGTTTTCATGCGAGACCAGTCACCGGTTGGGAGGATAGAGACTTAAGTAGTAGTCCCATACTGGGACGAATCGTCTGTCCCGTGCCTCCAGTTTTGGAATGGTGGTTTAGATAAGGTCGGTTCATAATTCAATTTACGAAAATCATTTATCTATCCTTAGTGCTTTTCTAAAGTTTACACTTGACTTTTAACACATAAGCCTCATGTTCGAAATCGACCCCACCTACTCCAATTTGGTCAGCTGGATGTTGATATTACTAATTTTATACAGATGGTTAGTCTTTGTTCTCATTGATTTAGAAAGAAATACACAAAGTTACGGATCCTTGGATTAATCTTTATGTACGCAATATATATGGTAAATTGTTTGCTTCAAGTGGAAACCGATTATGCCCAAATTATTTCAGTTATATTTCTGAAATTTCTTGTGGTTAATTAATCAATTAAATAAAACATATGGTGCTTACAATCTAAAAGTTGAACAGTTGAAATTTTTTATGCATGGCATGAAATTACCGAACCTTCATTTGTTTTTTGTTGAGGAGACCCACAATAGCCCACGAAAAGAGCCCAAAGGTGCCCTGAAAAGTGCTGGGAAGCATTTTATTCAATCAACATTGAATGGGAGTTTGTCAGAAACATCTATAAAGTAAAGTCACGTGTCCCATTTCTGATTTGATGATTACCTATCCTGCTACTATGTTTAGTAGGGTTCCAGAACCTTCCAAAAACCAAAGATCATCTGAAATGCCATAAATACCCTCACTTTCCTATACATCAACTAATTTTAGAGGAAATCGTTCCTTCCATATTTCGTGCCTTTTCTCTCATGTTCAGTTTGTCGTGTAGATTGGTTATTGGAAGAGCTTAGGAAACTGATTCAAGCGTCCAGTCAAAAGACTTATCATTTACATCCAATGAATTTACTGCATCTTTTCAACTTTTCACAAAAAAGCAACTCACATCAAATATCAGTCGTTTAATGGTGAGAATATGAAGTCGTCTATTGAACCGACTGTCTAATATGGAAAGTACATTTTCATCAACAAGAGTTCAGATATGTCTGAACGAACTCAATGGCTGATCAGTTTTGGGATAACGTACTGGAGGTCTGACGATTAATAAGATGAAAAGGAAAAAAATGAAAGTAATAATAATAATGTGTTTATTGATATGTCGAATATCAGAAAATGTAGTTCCAAAAGCAACGAATGAGAATTAAGAATGAAATTTGTAAGATGAAAATAATGCAAGGTTTAGATAATTAACGAATGCTGTTATGGATTTCCAACTATATCACTCAGCCTCAGGTTGCAGGTATAATGTGAGCTTCGACTAGAATGATTAAAACTTCCTACAGTTTAGATTAAGAATAAATAATAAAGCGGAACTGTCGAATGCTTAAAGGTAAGCTCAACTACTTTGATCTTTCTGTAGTTCGGCGGGGAGATTTATTAGAAAAGGGATACAGATTCCTGTTCATGTGCTTTCAAACACGAACTGCGCCTATTGGAATGACGTAGAGTCTAACCACATATTTGTTCATTATGGAATTGTTACATGTCATTGAGAGGAGAAGGACATCCAAGATACCAAGTAACAACAAGTTAAACTTTGTGGGAGCAATCTTTGAACTATATCAGTTCGAACAACAGTGGAACATAAATAAAAAATTACCCTCAAAATAAATCCAATGACATTTTAACGTACCATCATTTAGTCACAGAGGTGGGCTATGAGAAAGAATAATTCATTCTATACGTCGATTGTGGTTGTTAATCACCAAGGAACAAACTTTAAATTATGGAACCTCAGGTACTTGTGCCATGAAAGTGGAAAGGATTGTGGCCCGTTGATCTGACTTCAATTTAGAGGAACGAATGGATATGTCATGAGCATAAATCTACCATTTTAACTCTGTATATTACACCTAGGCTAACCTCGTTTGTGCGACAGCGGTAACAAGAAGCCAAATACAGATGGAGTTGGATGGAATTATTTCATGTACTCGTTTACTCCGAAGACGAAGTCCTATTTTCACTTCCGCGTGGTGCTTCCTGGATTGAGGATGATCTTTCTCCTCATGAACTAACGCAAGCGACACCGCAGAGACGGAACAGATTACCCAGTCTGTACAAGTCAGGTGGAGACTGGGCTCATCACCTACTCTGTCAAATAAGGAAATCAGGCTAATCATCCACTCCGTCTTAATTTTGATTACAAGAGGAGAGAGGTTGATTTTAAATTGAGAGCGCGATTGCGGCACTGAGTGAAACTTCCTTTTAGTGCTTGAACTGACTTTGTCTGGAAGGGCTAATAAGGGGTGGCCAGAGCGTAGGCCATAAAATGTTCCACAACAACTGTCCAGGGGTTGACATTAAACTTGCTTGTAGTATGAGCGTGAATTGAACACATTGTCTATGACGACTTATTCACGTACTGATTTGAGTACTTGATATCCATTCAGGGAAAATACTTCTGGGATACGCTCTGAGGTGATCACATCTATACCTACATGTATCTTAAGGAGTGTATGAGCCTCGGTTTATGCGTTCTATATATACATGTATCGTATACTTGCGAGCGAAATCCTATATGCCTATATGTACTTGTGGGATGAGTGGACTCGTTCGCCCATTCTATGATTGCATGTAACTCATATTAGCAACCGCGACCATCTGTAACTATATGTATATAATTGAAATGTACGTGTCTTTGATATCTGCATTTGAGTATATACATATACAAGATACTCGGGAAAGGTTCCACGTTTTTGCTCTGGTGAACTCATTAATAGTTCATCAGTACTTTTGATTTGTATCACCTTCGTTAAACAAGATTTTAATGATAGACTTAACTTATTGCCGAATGATTTGCTTATTTTTAAACCTCAATTTTCTAACGTTGTCTAGTTTTAAAACTGAATCTTCCTATTCATGGTTGAAGTCTTCTTAACAATCATCATAAAATGTTATGACTGATAAATTTCAACTAGTTTGACTTTATAGTCATTATATTCTACTTTCAATACGATGTGTAGACTAATTATTAAGACTTTTCTTAGGATTGTTAAAGCTAATCTTTGACATATTCTTATTGACAATGCATTTGCGAACACTTGAGTTGTAATTGTACACAATCTGTCTTCTTTCAATACACAAAAGGGTGTAATTAGTAGACTATAGTACATACATATTTTATGATTACTGTAGCAACCATATTAAAAATTCAATTAATATCTTTAAGAAAATATTTTGTCTTGTCATTAAAGATGATTTAAAATGGTTTATGTGTATACTTTTCAGCTACTTTTGAATTTTAGTGTGTTTACTGTTGCCTATAATACAAACATGATATATGTTGTAATTACATCATATATTGCATCAATTGACTCAGTCATGCCCCCAAATGTCCTGGTACGGTTGAGGGTGGGGAACCTCAGCTATCCCTCTCCAAACGCTCTCACATAGCCACGCGGATACAGCCACTCTCAGGGAAGTCCTACTCACTGACTTCTCACGACGAGGGTATTATTTACGAAATCGATCGAACGAAAAGCGAATGTTTGACGTTTCAACTGTGTTGGTGGATATGGAGGATCCACCTAGAGGAGTTGGAAAACCCTAATTCCAAACCTGTGGTTCATATGGATTCCATAATCCAGAGGGGGGAACAAACTGTGTATGATGAACCTATTGTTGGTCACTGACTACTACCATGAGAATTCATCTTCGAACGTTGTTCCACAGCCTTATGGATTAGACCTTTAGATGTAAGGCTGTGGATGTGGTACTGTAAGAGAATGACCTGCTTTGATTTGTGCACCTGATCAGTATTCCAGCCTTCAAACGAATCGAATGATTTGTGTGTCGCATATATATTTGTTGTCTCCTTGTCCCAATGTTTATGTGTTTAAATAATTAAGTAAAAATCACGGTCACCATAGAGCTTGGTACAAATGTGAGACTTGGATGTCGTGGGTTGGACTTATGGTTGATTTAAGGATGACGACTGATAAGGTGATGCTTCATATTACAACAAGACCAATTGTTTGATTTTTTCCTGTTTTCAATGATTGTTTAATTACATTTACCTCATGGTTTAAACTGTGAACACATATACTCATTATTTATTTGTTTCAGTTCTACGACTTCAGCTAATGCTATTCAATCGTTGTTAGATCGATTTCATATACAAGAATCTGCTCGTAAATTCGCCTTGTATGAACATACTTTAGAAGATAGTTCAAGTGAGTTGAGTGATATATATTTTTAAATGGTTTTTTTAATACTTCATTTCTTGATTTTCCAATGATCTGAAAAGTTTTCTTCTATGATACTTTTTAAATATCGAAATTTGTCTTTTGATCTTTCAATATTGTCTCTACAGGTTCTGACATAAATTTATTTCAGTCTAAGTTGTTTTTACCTTACATATTACAGAGGTAAAGGAAATTAACAAATAAGAGTAAATAATACCAACTACCGTGAGAACAGCTAAACATGCGAGATCTGAGGTTAGTGAATGAGAAGGGGAACAAAGAATCAAAAGCATTGGTCAATAATATTAAACTAAAGATTTATATAAAGATAGAGAATGAATGAAACTTCACCACTATGACAAATTTTACATCTCATCACCTGTTGCGTGAGCTCTGATAAGGAAATCTAAATCTTTTAACATAGTTCAGACAGTCAATGCCTAGTATTAATCTACTTATCTATATTCTTATGACAACTAGCTGTGATTTTTGAATTTTAAGGGAGTTGGGTGATTTTCGTTGAGTTTCGTTCTCTGAGCTAGATTGTTTAGTCGTCGAGTTTTCATTGTTCTTCTGAATAACATCATAAGCAAATATAGGATCAAGAATATGAGATCATATGGAGAGATTATCAAAATTAAAAATGCAAACGCAGACAAATTAAAGGTCAACAATAACTAATCAAGACCTACGTCGACAGAGCAATCTGTAAGTCATATTGTTATGTATGCTACTTGCGACATAGGTAGTATGTAACACCGACTGGAAGTGGAAAACCTGGCAGCAGAAGACTAAGAAGATCGAGTTGAAGAAAATAGATAAGGACTGTGAACTGGAAGAATCATACAAATTGTGAAGAACATATGGTGGAAATTCGAAAATGAAGTATTCAATGTGTGGTTCTCATATTTTACCAAGATATTCTGTAATTTTGTATTTAAAATGTGTTGGCTGTCTCCAATGGTGTCCTCGTTCACAACATTATATGAAGAAATTCAAATACTTCACCTGATGATGTTGTTCAGAAGAACAATGAATGCTCCATGACTAAACCCTATTCAGCTCAGACAGTGAGACTATTGAAATAATCACATTGTATTTATTAATCTGTAACAATTAAACAGCTTTGAATAACTTGGATTTGATCATTTCGACTGTCAAATTTGTACGCTGAGAGAAAAGTGGTCAGATGATTCCATACGATACGATTTTTCTTTTTTCTTTGTTTTCAACATCCTTATCTTCAATAACTATTGAAATATCATCTTTGTTTAAACTTATTAGACATTTTTAATTTAGGAGAAGGGACCTCTTTTTAAATGTATAGATATTTTTCTATTTTGTTAAATTTTATAGTTAGCGCTCGAAAACTTACTACAACTGAATGTCCTCTTCTATTATTATTAAATTGGGTACGTATAAGTACAAATCGTGAACAATTCTTAGAATTGTTGAAACAAAAACGTATTGTACTACAAGAAAATGATGCTTGTGATATAGAGGTAAGTGGTTTATTTTATTATTCGATTAATTTTTTTTTAAACTTTTACCATTATCTTTTTTGGGGGAAATTTTCTTTCTCAGAGCTGGATGGTTCATTCGTTAAACTTTCATTGTTCTTCTGAACAACAGCAGCACAAAATTCAGAGAGGAGTTCAGGAAAACAGTGAAAGGTTCACGAATAAAACATTCAGCTCAGAGGACGAAATTTCACCAAAATTATCCCTCTGAGCTACAAATCTCTACAATTATAAATTGTTTCATTCTTCTAACCCTGGAATGTTATTCATTAGATTATAGATTCTAATCTTACTCCACTTACTTCAGTCTCACTAACTGAGTAATGTTATTGATCATTTCAGAGAGAAGCGGAGTATATGAACCTCAATTTGTTATATTTCTCATACTAAATATGTGTTCTTAATTAGATAAGTTTCTTGTTAATAGAATTCAAGATTTCAAGTAACTAGTATTAAACGATTAATGCTAATTATGTAATTACGTGACACGTAACCACATAATATCAAATAATGTGTATCACAATGTCTTATATCGTTCAATTTAATAGCTATTTTGCATCTTGATCGATCGCTCTATGAATTAAACAAATACGATGTTGATCATTATCAAATGATCAGTTACTATAAAAAGTTCAGCTTGCTTGTAACGTACTTCATACGGTAAAGAGTATTTTGAATTTTATTTTAAATAAAATTAATGAATGTTGTATTTGATTTCAAACTATCAGTCATTACTTGAACTAAGTCGGATAAGATAATTCCATAAATATTAAATTTCCCTTCGGGATCAAAAGGTATATCATCTAGATTGATTTCTAGAACTCTGTAACCTCTTAAGCTTGAATTACAGCTTATGTAATAAATCATGATAGTATAAAACGGATCCTATTTGGATGTTCCCATTGGTCTATTTGCATATCTGGCCCCTGAATATATATATATATATATATATATATATATATATATATATATATATATATATATATATATGCGCCTATTATTTAATTCTCATTTCTCTTACCGTTTTACAGTGGAAAGACTTTACGACAGCAGAATTAACAAATTTCCTACGTATACTTGATAAAGAGGAATGTGAATATCGTAATGCTATTCTATATCAATATAATTTGTTGCGTAATCAACTAGAACAACGTATGAAACAATTAGTAATTACGAATCACGTTCATCATCATCACCACTCTCATTTTCATGAGTCAAACGAAGTTACTGGGGTTTTTTCACCAGTAGACAGTAATACTACTACTCCTACTACTAATACCACTGCTAATGGACCTATCTATTCAAGATACTATTCACATTCACATCCATATGCACTGGAACAAACTACTGAAGATAATCAGTTATCTAGTGGACATTGTAATTGTCATTGTTCTCATTAACTATAGTCGTTTTTAATTTGTAATCATTTAAGTGTATCCCTTTTCACTTATGAATTGATGAGAGTTTCTATATTGATGATAATTTCAGAAAAGAAATTCACATCAGTCATCATATTTGGATTCAGTATTTTTATTCATTCTATATTCCCTTATCTTAGTGATTATACTTTATTGTTCAATGGGTTTAGTGAAACTTCTTTCTATGAATACCAATATCAGTACGATTATTTACTATAATTAATCAACTGTGTGTGTACTGTCAGTAGTATATATCCCCACCTGTTTATTATTATTATTACCATCACTCTCTGTTAACAGAAATCCAATTCACTTATTCGACTTGCTTTTTCAATACGTTTTCTGTTTGAATAATTTGTTACTACATATTTTTTCCTACTTCTCATGTATACCCGACCTTAATTAGTTTTGAGTGTGTCGTTCTATTTCGTGGTGGTGAGTGTTTTACGTTGTTTTTTTTCAAAAAAAAAACAAACGTCTTTTTATTTTGTGCTGAACTTGCAAAGTGTGAATAACTGTGACTAGTTGGTCGTGTTTGTTTGGCTAATAGATAATAGAGTTCGTCGCTACCTTTGAACTACCCAAGTTGAATTTTGTTGCCATTGAAATTATTATTATTATTATTGTTATCAGTAATTGTAGATTGTAAATAAATTTGCCTTTCTTAGCTTTTTGCATAATTTTTTGTTCTTTTTCTGAAAACAGTACTAGTAGGGCATATAGTATCAATTTGATTTTTGATTCCCCCTAGAAAAAAAACCTTCATTCACATTTATTGTGTATGTTTATGTATGTATGTATGTGTGTGCATCCGTGTTCGTGTATGCTTCTTTCTGTTGTTACATAAAAACAAGTGATCATCTTTTTGTACACGTTTTAGAAACTTGTGAATCATACTTGTAAGAGTGATAGTACGTGCGTGAATTGTTCACATACTACTGATTTTAACCTGTTTAATACATTATTTATTCATATTATAGGCTGTAATGCACAACACACGAGACATTTTACCTGTGTACAATTCTTTTTTTTCCGTGGTTAAAGAATAATGCTGTACCCTTTACAAATGCATACATACATTTTTTTCTCTTATAATGCTGTTCGCTTTTTATTGTCCTGTTTTAAAAATACCTTAAATTGTTTATTTGTTTGTTGTGTTGAAATTTGATTTTATTTCTCTATTTCACCTTGGAAAAAAAATCTAGGAAGCAAATAAATATTTTATGAGACAAGTATTGTTTTTCCAATATTTTCAAAATGAAATAATGGGGTTTCCAGTGTATTTGTCTTCCAGTTTTGGGATATGGGCTTCGAATTCGTTGGTGAACTATTGAGGAACTGAAAAGTTCTCTTCATTTTATTTTAGAATTTTGAGAATAGCTTTGAATCAATCTCATGAGGATGTAAACAAGTTATCATTGAGCAGAAAGTCTTATAATACAACGATCCGAATTTACTAATTAGGCGGCAGAATATAAGGCGGCCTGCTTGAGCATCTGGGCTACCTGTTCCTGCCATCTAGATATTTCAACAAGTTATCTATTTTTGTTTGTTTTAATATATCATTATGTTTATTAATTGCATAACCTATTCTGCTGCGTTTCTGAAAAGTGTACAACCTTTCGTTGTCAAAGTTACAAAAAGAGAGAATGTGGTTGCTGGCAATATACAACGAAGAGAATGTACATTATTCAGATGTTCATTTACTGAACTGCTAACATCTAACTGGCGATCATTCAATATTTATCGCGAGGACCGACCAAGAAGAAAGAAACGGAAACTTGTTGAAATACTTTGTGCTGAGAATTCTATATTGTACCAATAATATAATATTGAATAAAGCTAGTAATAATAATATAATACTGTAGTGAACGAAGACTTGGTGGGGATAACCAGTCTCTTTTTTTAATGCAAAATTACAGAGCGCTTTCCTAAAATATGAAAATCATACATTAAATGAATTATTTACACATCTCCTATCAGTTGTTTTTACATGCTTCATAATTATTTCAATTCTGTTGTTATTACAATCGCTCTCTGTTTTCCTTCCTGTTCTCTTTAATTCGATCTTCTCAATCTTCTATCAGTCATTCCACTTCTGATTCATGTTGCATATTGCTTATATCTGTCAAAATAAGTAGCATACTTACAACTAATGAGAATTTTGATCGTAACACAAGAGTAAATCACTTTAATCAGTCTTTGCTTGAAAATTCACATTAGAAAACAAATAATATGAGCATATTTAGTGACGAAACTAGGATATATTCATAGTTTAATGGAATTTAAAAATAAGTGACTGATATATTGGCTATCGGTTGTATTGTACAATTAATTCAACGTCTGAAATTTTGTTTTTAAGTCATGCGCTTATTTGTATAATTCATATTAGGAATTATTTCTACTTTTGTCAAGAGTTTTACGCTTTGACCACGATATATCTTTTCTTGTATCCCAGTTTTTCAGCAGTCATCCTTCTTGAATTATCTGGTGTTTTCTTTCCACTTGATTGTGCACTACTCTACATCATCAAATTATGTTATTCGATATATTTTAATCGTATTATTATCTTTAGAACTAGGTATAAGCTGAGGAAATTGAAACTATTCGGTTTTGATTGATGAACTAATTTGAGTTAGTTTTAATCTCTTAAACAATCTAACAAATATCGAATAATTTCCCTATCTTATGGTATAAATGACTCTAAGAAAGTATAAATAAAAATGAAGAAGCTCTATTACTGAATAATGTCAATAGTTCAGCCTTACTTATGTCAATAAATGGTGGTCATCAATTTTGTTTACAGTCTACTTCATCGTTAGCAGTGTATCAGTACTTATTACCCTACCTGAATCAAATCGTTTTGGTTTCACTGTTCTGTATCTCATGTACTTTGAGTTAACTGACCAACTTTTTTAAAGTAGTATATTTGGATGGCTTTCCTATGCAATTTATCTTTTTCTGACGAAGCTATTTTTCAATTAAGTACTTATATTGCTGATGGTTTATAAATACTTGACTGATATGATCAACTAGACCGACGTTTATTCAGTCAAACACCATCACCTCTAATCAAGTGAATGTCAAAAATGTATCAATTAACTGAATGTCCATAATCTTAATCAAATAAACCTTTAATATTACTAAAACAACATGGTCGCGTTTTACTTAATAAATGTCAAATATGTAACTACAGATTGAAAGGGCATTTATTAAACAACTAGTGTAACCAATAGTCATACGTTAACGTATCATGTTGTGCTCATATAGTATAGCGAATTGAGGCAATGTACATTTGTGTCAGTTTGTACGTTGGTTATGACTGATTGGATGAATCATGTACAAATTCTAGTCTTGGATTTTGATAATTATTAACCTTTACATTAAAATTATTGTATTACAACTAACGACACTATCTAAATTTTGAAACATATCTAGGTGGAGACAATATTGAACATAATATATGAAAGCCTACAATTCTAGGGGCTTTTTAAAAACTGTTGAATTTCATGGTTTACATTAGGAACTGATCCTAATTAGACAAATATTAAGAACCAGGAAGCACTGGATAACTATTTCATCCTAGTGTGGGACTCTTCAGCAATGCGAATCCACGACTTCCTCAGCGGTCGAACCTATGACTTTAAGTCTTACTGAGAGAGGTTAATCCTTAAACTGCTGACCCGAGATCTAGTGGTTTACTTGCCTAACTTTAATGCACGATATCTCACAACTATCTTTCGATTCCGTTGGTAGTTTTCAATTATTATCCAACTAAATGAAGTTTGTGATGTAAACTATAAAAGCCTAATGTTAATTATTTAAACCTTTCTTTTAATAATTCAATAATTAGAAGTGTTAAACCTCAAGAAAGTGTTTTCTAACAAACATTATTTATTAAACTGTTATTAACGACATGAGCCATTTAAGTATGGTAATTAACTAATTATAGATAAGAACGATTACTCAATGTAATTAGTCTAATACACACAATGATATGTTAAGTCATATATGCGATAAAGTATGTGACTAAATAAAAAGAAGCAGAGAAGAAAAAGGACTATTTGAAATGTTCATTTGTAACCTTTTCATTGAAATCCCTATTGTAATCCATACTCTTTTTAATGGAGCAGAGTATTAATTGGGGCCATAAAATGAATAACATTTCAAGTTTTTCTCATTAAAACTAATTGCCGCTACCATCATCATATATATATATATATATATATATATATATATATATATATATACATTAATTTAAATGAATACCTTTTATATGTAAAAAGTTGATCAGGTATTCGACTTTATGATTAGTACCAGTCATTAATTACTTGTAGTTATAGTCCATTACATGATTTTTAAGTATTAATAGTACAAATGATCCAATGATATCTATTTTAAACATAAAAGGTAAATATGCAGAGTATGTAACGAAAAAAATGTAATAATCACACTATTTTCCAACAAGTTGTAAAAAATTATTACAAGCAAGGTTATTAATGTTTTTCTGTGTTGTACAATGGGTGATAGAATGCATTTTTCTCTTGGTATGTTTTTTCTTTCTCTTAAAAAAGTATATTACAATATTATCAGTTCAAAAGTATTTCATGAAATTTCAACTTTACATAGTTTAACAATCTCCACAAATCCCCGTTCTGATAATTATCATTTGCTCATTAGTAGCTAGCTTCAAGATGAATTTCTTGAAGTTCTAGTGAGAAGCTGTGAACAGTAGAGTCCAATCAGTGTCGGGTGGAGATAATTATCCACTTCAGACAATTGATGAAGGGTGGCGCGAGATCATCGGTCGATTGAAGATAAACATTAACATCGTAGGATACCGGCCCAGTGGTCTATAGATTAAGCGTTCGGGCACGAAATCGAAAGTCCTAGGTTCAAATCTCGCATGTGGGGTCGTAAATGCGCACTGCTGAAGAGTCTCACATTGGGACGAAACGAGCGTTCAATGTTTTAGGATTTTTTAAACGATTGTACTTATGATAACATAATGAGTTTCTGAAGAGAAAATTTGGTTGGC